TCATGGACAATACCTACTTTAATATTATAGTTGAGACGCGTTTATGCCAAATATTATGCTTTTAGTATATATGCCCTTTTCATCTTACTTATAACTTGTTGGTTTTTAGTGTCGCCTTAACATATACTGGTCTTACTAGTCCGTTTAAATTATTCACTGCTTACAAAAATTTGGTCGGTATATTTCTTGACATATTGAATAGACGTTTAACTTTTATTGAAGACTATGATATGCTCACTCTAAGACCGTCATGTCACAGAGTGTATGCTTTTGTTAGTGTGAAAGGCCTCACTGTAAATTTGACATCAAATACAGCAGTGAAACCTCTTCTAAGTGCCTGAAGTGAGTATGTGTCCGCCATTACTGCCTTTTTACATTTCTCTGGATGTCTATTGGTTATGAGTTTTTTTAAACCTTTAAAGTACACTCGTACTATGACTATAATTTATAGTCTGTTTTAATGAAATACATATTTAAATTATTTTCAAAATAAGTAAAAACGTGCTGATACTAATAATGCCATAATTGCACTGTCTGTCTGTGTTTTATGACGCACGTATGATGCAGAGATATATTGGTTCAAAGTTGCGAAGGTAGCTTCTCGAGTTCTAGTGTATTAACATCGTCAATAAGTATACTTAAGGAAAGAAAGGTGAAAGAGAACTTGGTATTTGATTTGCTATCATATGGCGGGTTTCAACTTAGAATAGTGAACTTTATAAAATGATATAAAATATATTGAATAAAAAAAGAAGATGTGGTATGATTGCCACACGGGGGAAGGGGGGGAGGGTCTCTTCCTATATGAAGGTATATACATATGTGCCGCGGGAATGGGTCCCTTTTTTGATACGTCAAATATATCAATGGGGTGCAATTTTACCTAGGAAATATATCAATAGGTAGTAATTGACCAATTGTGATATATCAATGGGTCATAATATTTCAGTTTGTTGTGCAACGATCTTCACTGAATTTCCCAAACTCTTTGTCATTAAAATTTCCACATCTGCTGAAACTTATTGACATATATAGGTACTATTTGAGCTGATAAATATATGAATGGGTTATGATTTCGCTGTGAAATATGTGTATAGGTAGGGATTTCTCAATTATTCAATATATGAATGGGGGGTGTTTTTTAAATCCCAGCTGCACAACTGTACCCAAAATCCCATGTTGAGACCCCCCCTCCCCCTTGGATTGCCAATGAGACAACTCTCCACCAGAGACCAAATGGCACAGAAGGTAAGCAACTTAAGGTCACCGTAGGGCCTTTAACAATGAGCAAAACCCATACCACACAGTAAGCTATAAAAGACCCCGAAATGACAAATGTAAAACAATTCAAACGATAAAACTAACGGCCCGATTTATGTACAAAACACGTTTCACACATTTTTCGGGATACTTTGCAACATCTTTAACCAAAGATTTCTATTTCATATCATCAACTCCTCTCAAATTCATTCATGCTTCACATGATGTTCTCATAATTATCGAATTTGTGCACGTGATGCAAAAGATTTATTCGTTTATTTTTTTTCAAATATCAAACACATTTTGTTTAATCTATTGATGTTGAGTTTTGCATACAAATCAAATCGCCATTTCAATGTTTTACTGTTAGGTGAATGTTCAGGATTTACATTGGCTTCTGAGAAGGAAAATGTATTATGTTTGATAAATAGTTTTGGAGAAAGATGCGAGTCAGCTGTTCTTGTTTGTATAAATCCTTTCAGTAGTGAACGCTGAAATTGGCTCCTGGGATACATAAGATAATTTTGTTTCAACATATTCATGTGCCATACAAATTGTTGAAATAAACGATATTGTAAACCGTACTATTTTTGCGGATACTTTATTTCGCGTTTGGTCAACTTTGCAGCGATTTAATTTCGCGATTTTCAAATTTACTTGAAGTATCTAAATAAGGAAAGATCCAAGTTTTTCATATTCGCGACGATTTAAATTTGCGTTATTTTTCTGTTCGCGAAAGTTTAGTTGGTTTACATAACTCTTTTTATAATGCTCCTGTAAACATGAATGTTACATCATGGTAAAATCAGTCTCGTCTAGCGAAACTTTCCCTTTTGAAGCTATGAGAAATTAAATTCTAAAAAACTATTGTCGGTTGGAAAATAGTCCGGATTATAGCAGAACCTCTTTGAGATTTTGCACCTTTTGTTTCATTGTTGAAGAAAATCAATGACCAGGAGGAAATTATAACTACAAATGTATGTCAATGACAGACGCGGAAATTTCTAATCCACTAACGACATCCATCTCGTTTCATTTTAATCGGTGGAAAAAAATAGAAGACAACAGCGAAAAAGAAGGTGTCTATTGTCAAATTCGATGGTATTACCAGAATATTTGTAAATATACATCCCGATTGATGAACAACTGTAAAAGTTTGAAAACGAAACCATGAATATATTTTTTTTTAGATATAGACAGGGCCCTCAGTCATAAAACTTTACTCAGTACTTGGAGTACCAAATTAGTGCTCGAAACACCAAATTCAGTATTCTGATTGGTTGAATTTGGAGTCTGAGTACGATAATCGTGCTCGAAATATTTATGACCGCAAGGCCTGGACTGTGACTATCTAACACAAAAATAAGCCCGAAAAAAGCAAAAACTCTCTTCTAAAGACTTGGTTAGTTCAGGTCCAGCAGAAGAAACCCAGTGACACACGTGCTTGCGCTCAGAGCGTGTAAAAACTTTTGGTAAGTCGTGTTTTGCGATAAGTCATATGAACGAATAAAAGAGGCTACACTCATGTTCAGATTTGAAATTTGAAATTGATATTCGTTGCTCATACAATCTAGGCCATAGCCGTAAAATTTTCAACGTGACTACTTTAACTCTACCATAAGGAGTTATGTTCTAAGACGTAAAATACTTTTCGGGAAAAAAAATATGGGAAAAATACGGAAATGTTAAATCGTAACAAGTGACATATATATGTAGTTTCATAACATTAACGGTACCAATATAAGTGCTCCAGATGCGCATTCCGACAATTAATGTCTCTTCATTGATGATATCAGGGCCAAAATATTTGAAAATCCAAAACCTAATACAAACGTTGGAGAGCTGATCAAACCAAAAAAGGACCTGAAGTATAGCAAAATCCGGACAAGGAAATCAGACCTTGCAAGAGAGAGATATATTCCTTAATTTAAGAATGGAAAAGATACACAAAGACAAAGTGTTCTCTGTCTCTCTAAGGCGCACAGCTGGTTCAATGATGATGGTCTGTTGAAAACACGTCTACCAAGCATAATAAATGTGTTGTTTATTAAAAATGTTATCTGGTGAAGAAATATGTATGAATAAAAACAAAATCATATATCAAGAGATTATCTATAGAGATTATTCTGTACATGTATTATCTTCAAGAATCACACTCGATAGACAGATAGATATAGATTTTTTTTCAAAAATGTGCTACTGTATAATGATAAAAAGGTCGAATTGTGCGTGACATATGTAATGCTCCAATGTTATTTGTAGGGCAGGATATTCAAATGTTGCTTTTTGATATAAACGATTATGGATCAAATCATTTAAATTTGTTAGCGTCTTTTCAAGATTTATGTGCATATTTGTTTGGATTTTTTAAGTCAGTTGTGTTCTATATGCTGCTGGATCACATTGAACAATTATGTCTGTCTATGTTACTCACACAGTTTTGTCAATATAAACGGAACTATAAACAACTGTCATACACGTGGGAGGTTTAGCTGGCTATAAAACCAGGTTTAACCCACCATTTTATTCGGAAAATGCCTGCACCAAGTGAGGAATATGACAATTGTTTTTCATTCATTCCGTTGGTTGATATAGTTGAGCGTTTGGTTTTGTCAGGGTGTATGCTCTTCCCCTTTTGGAATTTACCTTCGATTTTTGTTTTTTATACTTTGTTTCCTTAACTTAAGTCGAAGATTCTAAAAGATGGCAGAAGATACCAAGAGGACGAGATAAAACCTTAAGTCAATGAAGAACAGAGAACAAAATGACCAAACAAAAACAACGTTTTACTAGATTATACGCAAAAAATAAAAGACTGAGCATCACGAATCCCACCAAAAAAATGGGGGGGGGGGGGGGGATATTGAAGAAAGATATTGACATGTATTCCTTCTAGTATTTACAATACTATTCTGTCTCTCATTCTATCAATATATATTCGGTTAACCAAGGAGATCATATTAATATAACTTCCTTGGTTTAACATATGTTTAATATGTTGTCCAAATGTTTGTATTTGAAGTTTTAAATGATCAGGTTTGTTGAAAAACAGCTGGAAAAAGTTAAACCACATTTCATCAGTTCTGTTATAGCCGGTACTACCTGGATGTACTGGTATGATTAATCAATACATTTTAATGTACATTTTCAGTTCTTATATTATGCAATTGTCTTATATTATCATATATTCCGTCAGGTAAATTTGATCTTAGATCATCTTAGACGGTTTTTGCTTTTCTGTTTAGGCCTCTGGTATATATATATATATACGCTAATTATATAAAAAAAGGAGATGTGGTATGATTGCCAATGAGAAAACTATCCAGCAGGGTTCAAATGACGAAGATATAAGTAATTATAGGTCACCGTACGACCTTCAAAAATGAGGGGGTAAAAAGCATACCGTATAGTCACCTATAAAAGGCCCCGACATAAAAAATGTGAAACAATTCAAATGAGAAAACTAACGGCCTTATTTATACAATAAAATTTACGAAAAACAAATATGACAAACATAAACCAACGACATCCACCGAATTACATGCTCCTGATTTGATACCGGCACATAAAGAATGTGGCCGGGTGAAACATGTTTGTGAGCGCTCAACCCATCCCCTTTTTACAGAAAAAAAATAAGAACAAACTGTAAAAATATTTGTTTAAGGTAAGTATTGTCGTTCAATCATTCTAAAATGTAAAAATTCAATCAAGATAATTATAAGAAATAAAAAAAAAACGGCTGGAGTTTAATTTTAATAATGATAAACCATAGACTTCAGTATAATATGTAATAACAAAATGTATGAAATGAATAGGATTCTGAATGAGTGTAGCTGGTCATGACGTAAACCAGTTTGGTGTTCTGAATAAATGTATCTATCTGTTATTCTTTAATTAAACATCTATATGCATTTCAAGGTCGTTTTCTTTGAACTGGTACTCTCTGGCACGTAATTACACGTCTATACTTGTCAAGGACGTTTTCTTTGAGCTGGTACCCTCTTACACGTAGTTAAACGTCAATACTTGTCAAGGACGTTTTCTTTGAGCTGGTACTCTGTGGTGCAAAGTAACTACCTGTAATGTACAATATAGGTTGTTTTTATAATTCAGACTTTGATTCAATTGGTTAACAAAGTATAAGATATACCTGGTACTCGTATTCTTTCTAACAAGGTCGTGTCACAGACTGTACATTGACCTTTATCTTTTTCTTTCTCTTTTGTACCTGTTGATGAGTCTGTCATTGGCACCACATCTTACTATTACATTATTACATGATTTTTATTTGCTTTTATTTTTTAATGTCTTTATAAATGTCTAAGTACAACTTTGGCTTCTTTAAAATTTACTCATTGTTGAAGTTCATGCATGCAATTATGTGCTCGGCCAAAAATTGTCTCATGCATCTTTTACAAATTTTATTGGCACATCGTTCTTTTCGAGCTAAATAAAATTATCAGCATTTGGATTTATGTATATACAAACTGAATATTCAATTTGGAACAATACTCAAATATTTGGCGTTGTTTAAAGCATCATTTAAAAAAGGCTAATGGTTTTATAATTTTTAGTGCAGATGTTCTCTTAACTGAACACATTACTATAGCTATCAAGTCGTAGAAAAACGATAATAGCGTTGTTTCATTGATATAACTATTTGCCAGTTTATAATTTGGAAATGTTGTATATACACCTACACCATTTCGGTTTTCTTCAAAACGCAACAAATTAATTAAGTTTACCCATTTTAAAACAACATGCTGATAGAACGCACTGTATAATTATAAAACATATTATACATAATTTGTCAATAATAAATTATTTCTTTTCAAGCTTAACAGGCAGTAAATAGAAATATTAGTAATAAACAGATGGAAGTTGTATAAAGTAATGAGCACTGAGAGACCTATACGTTGCCTCCAGTAATAGATTGATTAACAACTCGTTAATTTCTTGTTTCTGTCGACATCACTTTGTTTTTCCAACTAACAAAGCTGAGTGGAATGTTAATATCGTCGTTGGTACATAGTCAAAGCTTATTAGTTAAGACACACATCTCGTTTGATTAACGTGATAAATTTCAGACGGGATTTCTTTATTTCAAATCCCAATATTTTCATTAGGCATATTAAAAGAAAACCTCATTCGACACAGTTAAATACTAATTGGCTTTAGGTTATAGGTCCATATGGACAATTTAAGATTGTGTAGCCATTCTATTATACCACCAGAATCGTTTAAACCGACTGACCCCAATATAAGATGCCAAATGACAACACAATAAACCAATAAGACGTATATCTTGACAGATGGACGTATTCGGACTTTCATTATACTAAATTAAACACTTCAGAAGCAATGTCCTCATAGAAGGTGACACGTCAAATAAAGCAACGCAATACTTGATATAGCAAATACGCTATAGGACTGGAGTTTAAGCGGCTGCTGGCACCGACTTGCCCTCTAATAGATCCGCGTTATCCAACTTATCTTGTTAAGGCGAAAAAAGTTCTTTAAAATTAAATGAACCTGACCACTCATTCCCTAATAATTTGTTAAGTGTATGACTATTTCTCCTAATATGAAGTTTAAAGTTTTCTTCTGTTGCATATTATTGCTTGTTAATTTCTGTCTGCCTGTTTTACTCGATCATTGTCTTGTCTCCGTTTTGATTAACCGGTTTTGACTTCGACTTAAACTAGTTACCTCGTTTTAGTCTGTGTCGACGATGAATTGGAAGTTCCTCCTCGTGTTCTTTAAAAACACAATTTTCTTTACTGGTTTGTATATTGTTATTATCAACGTCTACGTGGTGCCGAATATCATCACATAAAACAGGCGATGACGTCACTGATGGTGTAATATGATTGTCTGTTAAATCATCTGTAAATATCACACTTATGCCAGTTGTACCATTTTGAGATTCCTGTGATGCTGAAATAATATGTACATCTTTATTATGTGTAAATGTCAATCTTATCCAATCTTTTCCTCTTGAATAAAACAATATACATTTATTAAAATCAACATTCTCTGTATCAAGAACGATCACAACCCATATTGGTGATTCAAAGTTTGTATAAATGCTTAAGGGGCTATGTTCACCAAAAAAGGATAACAAAAACCCTCAAACTTAAAGGTCAATTTCACTGAGATATTTTCTTAATAATTTGTAATAACTGTCCATCAAAAATCATGTCGGTTGCAAAACAATGTACACTGGGCTAATGGACAAAAATAAAGCAGATAAGAATTGAATGATACTATCATAAAACAAGTAGACTTCCGGATGCTTGTCATGCTTGTTGTATCATTTCATTAGTTTTAAATGAGAACGAACTTCATTTTTATCTTATAGTAATATCATTATTTAAGTCTTGATTATATCTAAAATAGAGCATTTTAGGAATTCCGATTACTTTTTCTATCAATTTATCAAATTTTCATACTTTACAACAATGTCGAAGTTTTACGTCACTGGCAGTTAAGTTGGTTAAAAAAAATCCAGTAACTAATTTTCATTTTTTAAAACAATGTCGAAATCTTACGACAATGGCAGTTATTTTGGATAAAAAAAACCTAGTAACTAATCTTTATGAAGTCGTTGACATGATTAGTGGTTTTCAGCATGTCTGCATTTCATAGTGATTCAAATTCATTTATGAAACAGATATCAGAATACTGCTTTTCATCTAACCCTTATTGTTTCTTTTCCATGTTGCCAACAGCATTTGTCTCTTTTAAGTGTCCATTTGTTGACATGAGGAGGATTTTCAGTCCATGTTTGTATATAGTTAATGAAATGAAAAAATAATCCATTTTACAGTCATCTGATTCATTATTGCGTTACCTTAAAATTGAGAATGAAAACTTGGAATGTGTCAAAGAGACAGAATAGAATAGATAGATAGTTTATTAACGTCTCACCATTAATATACACAATAAAATATTTACATATATCATAAAAACATAAATAGATATTAATGCCATTCTTAAAAGAATTATGAGAGTCAAAAAGTAAAATTTCATCAAACAATAAAGGACTTTATAAAACTATGTACTTATTAAAATTTCTAAAAAAATTTACGAAATCTTTACATTCTAAAAATTATCGATATGAAAAACGTCTCCTTCTGTCTTAAATAGATTTGCAGGTTTTGGCACATTTGTAAATAACATTAACGTTTTGGCACCCCAACACAAAAGACAGTTTCTCGCGATTCGTAAACATGTTAAAGTTCTCAGTCATCTTCACTGTTTATATATTCATAGAGTTCGTTCCTTAAATCGTCATAAAGCGGACCTTCAAGTAGTACATGTTCCTCAGTTTCCATCTTATTATCACACATAAAGCAAGTCCGTTCATGCATTGGTAAACGTTCGTAGCGCCCGGTTTCGATTCGTATAGGTGCAACCCCACACCTGAATTGTGAATATGCTCTACGTTGAGCAGGAGATAACAGTGTTTTTAAATAAAGTTCACAACTAATTTCGGTTTTGAATGTTCTATATGTCTAAAGGGGCAGGTATATAATGATGGGAGTGTCAGTCCATCCGTCCGTCCGTCCGTTCGAACATCCTTGTGCCCACTTTTGTATCTGCAACTGCTCTTTAACTGCTTGACAAAACTTTGTGAAACTTTCACAGAATCTTACTCGCATAATGTTCTTTTACTCCTATTATTTTAATTCTTCGTCTAAATGAGATTCGGGGTTTACATTGGGATGACATGGACTTCGTCATATCTGCACACTATATTACACATTTGTATCCCCTTCCCCTCGTTCTGATTTTGGAACGAATAATTTTTGGGTTTCCATTTCCAAACCACGAACTTTTGTCATTGCTTTATTTAGGGGGTTTCCATTTTGTATCCGCGACTCCTCCTAAACCCTTTATTTCAATTTATTGAAATCTTTTCACAATCTGAACCATATTGTATTATTGTTCATCACCCTATTTTTGTTTATCGGAATCGTTTTTTGGGGTAAGCATGGAGTTTACTATTGCTTTATTAATATTGATATTTGTGTATCCATAACTCCTCGACCTTTAATTATAATCTATTTAAACTTTCTAACAATCTTAAACATTGTAGTTTAAGGACATTTTATGTTGTTTTTGATCAGAATCATTTTCGCGGTTTCCTTCAACAAACTATATGCACACTATTGTTCACATTTATATCTCCGAGTCTGATATCCAGTTGAATTTAAAATACGAAAATTTGTTAATAGAAATAAATCATTATTAGAGAAGGTATAAAAATGACCAAGTTGGTATATTTAAATTATTTATATTTTTACGATTCAAAATGGCTGAATCGCTATGTAGCGAATTTCTGTACACAAAAAGAATAATACCTGTGTTTTTATTACCAGAAGATGAGAATTCTTCGCAACAAAAATATAACCAAAAAAGAAAGTAAGACTGTGGCAATGCTGCTTCTATTCGTGCCAAGTTCATTAAAATCCAACCAAAAATAACCCCTCAATATTTTATTATATTTAAATCCTAAATATTTTAAATTGACTTAAACAGTTATATACTTTTTTGTTGGCATGTTTCGAGAGGGACATATTTTCATTTTCTAACAACGAATAGCGTTAACGGTAAGATTTTTTCTAGAAATCCCCGAAACTGGGTTAAAATTTTGATAAAAGAGTTAGATATATGTTTAGTGAGTGTTATAGAACATATGTTTACTTTGTATAAAAACTGATCGTGACTTCAAAGAATATCAACTACTTTGAATCCAACAGAAAGAAGGTAGTGTTTCTGTTTTAAAAGGTTAAACATATCGAAGTTATCCAAGAAAAACATCCACACTTCATCTGTTGAATTAAAATGATATTGTTTAGTTGACAGAAGTGTCAGCCAATATGTGAAAAAGATTTGTTTTACTTAATTGATGTTTAGGTTTGTTTCTGCTCTTAGCTTTTACACATCTCGAATCCTGGTTGGGATTTCGTATATAAGCTATTAATTACTAATATTTCTGAAACAATATTTATATAATAAACACCGATCTTGCTAATGAGATATATCAGTAAGAATCAGTGTCTCGGTCATGAACACTCCAATGAGTTTCACAGACGTATAAACATACAGCATGTAGGTGCATTTAATGATTTTTTTTTCATTTACTTAAATCTCAATTAGTTGTACTAATTTATAATTAATGTGGTAAATGAATTTATTAAATAATTGTGGGTATTATGAATTCAAGTTAAAAGAAAAATCGCGAGTCTCATTTTTTTCAATATAAACTTTAATTCTTTATCTGCCTATTTGTTTATTTATGAACAACATTCTAATAAGTGTCTTTAATAGCATATAGGTGTATGCTTATTTAAAATGCATTATTATATAGAATATGAGAAGACAGATATGTTTTTTAATAATTTGAAATTTCTGCATTTACAGAAAAAGTTTATTATCAGAAGACATCATAAATATTTCTTCATTTAAATGACAAGTTTCATAATTTTTGACCGATGAGATAGGACCAGCTTGTCTCCCCTGTAATTGATTCACTCACAGGATCAAAATTTAAAAGTTGTCAAATTCTACTAGATTACGAATACTAATAGTCGAAATCATATTCTTAAGTTATTTGTTCAACAGTTTTGCATATGTCCTAAATGGCAAAATGTTATTCATCGCCATATGTCGTTGAGGACGTTTTGATAGAAAATTTCATGTGTTTGTATTTAATGTTGTATCGAGGGAGTCTCTAACAAAAAGTGAATTAGTTAATATTTGCAGAAAAAAAAAGTATAGGTTTAATTCCAGCAGAATTTTGATTTTGGTTAAGAATATTCTTCTAATACATTTTTTTTATAAATACTAAAGTTTCACCAAAATTCTGTCAAAATTGTAGTTATGTGCTATCTTGGTTGTCTGTTAAAAAATAAGACATACCAGCAAGGTGAAATAAAAATTAAAATCAAGCTCTCAAATCCCCCGTCATAACAAAAATCTGAAACAAATGGGGATACTCTCTCAAAACAGTGCATCGAATTTAACGTTCCCATTAAAACTGAATGTGACTGCGTATGTATACTTCCCACACAGTCAATGGGTGTGTGCGAGTTCATCAATGAATGTATGGTCACACGATATCACATACCTTGGAAACAAGTAATTTACTTTTTTTAAACAATACCCTTTGATAATTGGTGCTTATTTGAACCACAAATAGCTAGTCCAAATAATTATGACGTCTGTAATGGCTATTTTAATGTTTTGCTGTGACGCCTTTATGCGACGACTAGGAAGGCGTCACAGCAAAAGCTTAAAATGACCTTTTAGATGTCTACATTATTTGTGTACAAAACAAATAGCTAGACAACCAAAATAAAATTAAATGAAATAATGTAAATCATCATTTCAAACCCAGTGTCATATGTATAACATATCTTAGAAGTCTTTGTAACCAAAACAATGCATTAATCATATAACAAGCACCGAAGAGACAAATATACCCAAACAAAAATAAGAACTATAGACAGATACACATCATAATAAAATAGCAATACACAACATGACGAATACGAAATCTTTTTACTGTTACCATAAACCGTAAACAGACAAAGACATATATCCGCCCTTGACAAATCATGACCATCAACAACAATGCATTATACAGAATTAAGCTACATTCCTCGGAAACTTGGAACACAATAGTTATATTTAAATAGACAGACCCATGCTATTGCATTGATAATCGATATAAAGCAACAGGGAACCAGTTCGTCAAGCTGCAAGAAATACTTTTCAAAGTCATGTTTATAGACAAATTACTATAAAACAAAGATTTAAATATTCAAAATACACTACATGAACATTTATATATTTAATGTAATATGGTAAGTAAGTTATATGTGATAATAATTTGAAAACTCGTGCATGTAATTGTATTTGAAATTCTT